TAAAGTCCCTCCCCCACTTGATATTTGGTGATTGCTAGAGAAAGGAACCCTTTTAGAACTGAAGAGCCTGTACCCACTGCCAGTATCTGGATGGCTCATGTCTCCCCTCAGGATAGGCCAAAAGGAGGTGAGTCCATTCAAGTAGAAAGCATGAAATGAGGGCTACAGAACTCTCTTTGGCAGGACAAACTTTGAGGGACATTCAAAGTGCTACCAGAGGTGTAATGGATGCTCCTGTGGATTTTAGTGGGAGTCACGCAGCCAATATCCAGGTATTCTTTGGAAATAGGTCCATGGGTTTGCTAGTTACTTGTGTGGCCTGCTGAGCTGAGAGCGATATTTGCATTTCAACGTGACCTGTTTTCTACATAAACATATAGCTGTATCGCCTGAATGGGAAATAAGCAGCCCACATCCCACTGGCAGAGGCCTTTCTCTACTAGCAGGACACAAGGAGCATTGTTTTCCACTTCATTCTCTTAGTCACCACATCCCTTTGTCTAAACACCAGAGGTTGCTTCCTATACCTCAGTCGTATTTCCTTTTTCCTGGCAGGAAGGGGTGCCTAACTTTAAGAGAATTTCAAGGCCTCTTTTGTTTCTTTCTCACCAGAGCACAGCCCTGCTTCGCTGCCTGCCTGTGTCTTTCCCGACCTCTGCCTGTGCACAGTTCTAGGTGCCTCAACTGGAAATAATCTCATCCACTGTCAGAAGGCTTCCAAGGCCCAGCTCAGCCACTAGCAAAAGGTGCCTAGCACAAAAGCCAGCCATAATATTCTCTATAAATTTTAAATCCAATTGGGTGTTTTTCCTTCAAAGACACCACATTTCTCTGCATGCCTATAGTTCCATCCATAAAATAAACACACAATTATTACTTCATAGGAATAAAGGTCCTCACAGTGCCTGGCATGCAAGAAGTGTTCAGTGAATGAATGCTCATTGTCTTGTGGTCTAAATTAAAACCACAGTTAGGGAAAAGATGACTTTCCATATTATACTCCCTCTACATGATGGCTCCCCTATAGCACAGTGATTTACAACTCACTAGGTGATAGGGCTAGGATTGTACAAGGCCTTTGATTGATGGTGTAAAAAGCAAGCTCTGACCTAGTCCATTTCTGTGTGGCATCCCAAGTAACTAAACTGCCTCTGTAAAGTGTGGCAAAATGGAAGAGACCTTGGGACAGGAGTATGTATGACTTCAACTTTGGAAACAGCGCACGTGGAACATCATTCTTCTGTGTTAGCTTGAAGTGACCAGGTGTACTGTTTAGCACAGGCCGTCCAGACTCAAGTTGAGAGATAGAAAACCTTCACAGATCAGTCAGGCCTTCTACTTTACAGATAAGAAACCTATGGGTCAAAAGTTTCTTTTAGTAAATATATTTTGAACATTATTTTGTATATTACCTAGTCACATGATAATGTCTCCTCAAGCCAGTACAGTGCTTATCATATACACTATTTCTTTATTGCAGTAAATGAGTGAATTCAAAGACTTTTTCAGGGTCACAAGTTACTGCCTACAAAAAACAGAACTAGAGCCCCCTATGCTGACTTTCTCCTCCATACTCATAGGTATGACCAGAATTTGCCTGAAAATAGCCAGGAAAGCACCCACAGGGGTCGCAGAGCAGCATCTGCGTGTCTGATTTGAGCCTATCTGAGGAATGTAATTGCAGTACCCTCCTACTGCATGGGTGTCCATGGGATTTCATTTGTCTACAGGGTCTCCGTATCAGTCTTTTTGTGCAAATGATAATATTCTCACTTGTGTTTTATATAAAAGCATTTTACCTCCACCCACCCATCCTACAGCCCCCATTACACTTCATGAGGCATCTTGGTTTAGAAAACAGGGCCTATAGAGGTCTTGGAGTTGGAATCATACTAAACAATATTTTAGCACAATATAGTGCTAAAATGGCAGACAACACGTTATGAGTAAAGAATTTTCTCATGCACTTTTTTTTTTTTTTGTATTTTTTACTAGGGAAGGGCCTACATGGTCTCACTACTAGATTGGACTCACAGTGATCTGCTTGTTTACAGTCTCCCAGGAGCTGGGATTACAAGGCACACACCACCACACCCAGTCTCAACTGCCATCTCAGTGTGCCCCAGGGGAGGGGCTGGCACAGCAGTCCTGGGGATTGAACCCCCAGCCCCTGCAGGCACTTTAATCCACTGAGCTATCTGACTGGCCCCTGACAGGGAGCTCATTCACTCTTTTTTTTTTCCATTTACTCTTAAATGATGACAAAGCAAAGAAAATTGCCATTGCTTGGAGATATTCTACTCTCTGATAGCCAGAAAATAGTAAAGGTCTAAAAACCATTTCTAGGGAGATTTCGCTTTGAGATGTAGTACTATATTTACCCGTCATGAAAATTCAGCTAATATGAGGGCCTTTCAGATAGCACTCAACCTTCGTTAACAAAGACTCCTTACCTAACCTGTGAAGCAAAAATCATTTGAGTGGCTGTCTTCGCAGTTGATGGTACCTAACCTAGATCTCCTATTTCATACAAATAAAGTGATCAGGTAAAAGCAATGAATTCATGGGCAGTAGGAATTACTATGCTCACAAAATCCTGACAGCAATGTGTGCTAGCACACAGCGTGCCTACCAGTCATGCACACCTCAGTCATCCTCACCAACACCCACCTCCACAAGGATGGCTGATTTTTAGGAGTTCTTCACAGTGACAATGACTGCATTACCTCCAAAATGTGGTCACAGAGAAAAGTTGATTTATATTCATGTTATTAAAAGATATTATTCTATTTGGAAAACAACAGAAAGAACATCAAATCTTTTGTGCATATGCAAACTGTAACTCAAAAGCAGACTGGGGCATGTTTGTAATGAAGAATATTAAATGGATTTTACAGACAAGTTGGAGCAAAATGCATTTCTCTGAAGTACTTAGGAAGTTATTTCTATCTTTTCAGTTAATCAACAAATAGTTCCAGACTACCAGCCCCTAGACACTTGGCAGAAGATGACAAAAAATAACTCCACTTTGTGTATTTTACCAATAGATGGGTGATTCTTATGCTTTGCTTATATTGATTTAAATTTCTTGAGTAGGGCCAGGGGTTGTAGCTCAGGGGTGCAGTGTTTGCCTGGCAAGCGCGACGTCATGAGTTTGATTTTAGGTACAAAAAAAAAAAAAAAAAATTCTTGTGTAAAACAGAAGTCACAGATTTATCTCAGTATTTTCTGACCACTGGTCTACAACTGAAAACTCAGCTTATGGTTGGTAAAATAAAGCAGATTAGAAGGAATTACAATTTGTAGCAGGGATGCTAGATGTCAGGTATGGTAGCAGGTCCTTTCCACACACGATCTCAGCTAATCTCCATGAGGCAAGTGGCTTAATCATTTTCTTCTTACAGATCAAAAAGTCAGACTCACAGGTATAGAAAAATGAATGCACCTTGAGACTATAATGTTAAATAAGTCAGACACACAGGTTTAAATATTGAATGGTTTCTCTTCTATGATATCACATGTGATTACTGGACACAATCAAAAGTGTTACGTGTTCATTATCAACAAGCGCAAACTCAAAGCTTTGAGTTAACCTCATATTAATACTACATGTAAAACATGAGACTGAAGCTATTTCAAAAGTTCAGGATTATATACATATTAAAATTTTACATTAAATTGATTCCCAAACAATTCAGAAAGATTGTTTTTCAGATTTGAACAAAAGCATGTCTGTCTCAAGTTTGCCTGTTTATTCATTATTTATTGAGTACACTTTATTTTCTAGACACTTGAGAACCATGAGATTTTGAATCAGCACTGAGGTCTGAAAAATGACTTACAAGCGGTCTTCACTCTTGAAGACTACCCTCACTAAATCACTCTATAATTCCTTTAACTATTCAATCTTACTGCAGCTTTCCATAGTGAGTTGTTATATTCTGAAAAAAAGAGCATCTCAACTCTATAACTAATGCACACACTGCAAAAAGGCATAAAAATAAAAATGCGGTAGCATTAATTTCTGCCCTGTCAATTTCCATGATTGAGAACAGTGATAGCTACACTAAAGCCATGTAACAAAAAGCTTGTTGAATGTTCTCTTTTTACTTCCTTGTGTGAAATTCCTTCCTAAATATTTAGAAGTAGCTTTCCAACATATCATCTTCTATTTCCATTTCAGTATAAACAGTGCAGGAAAAAGAAAGAAGAGTAGATCTTTAGAATCAGCCAGACGTCGGTGTAAATTCTGGTTCACTGTATAAAAAAACTAAAATAACTTGCTTAACCTTTCTGTTGTCACTGTTTTTTTCATTCTACACAATGAACACAGCATGTAACTTGCAGGATTCCTCCAAGGAATGGAGATAACATACAAAACAACTAGCTCACAAAAATATTGGCTTCCTTTTTATACCAAAATTCTAGAAGAACACTGAAATATTCCTGGTTTAAGTTGTGTAATTTTGGGCCTGGTTCATAACTGTCTCATAAGACATTCAACTTATTTCACACTGAAACAAGGTACCTAGTAAGAACAGTGTTGATTTTAAATAAGAAATCTTCAGATAGCTGATTAGAACCTACTGAAAAGACTACATTCTTCCATCCTCACTTCTACAGAATTGTTCTGCTGTGCCTATTAAGGTGTGGACATGATAGAGGACGAGAAACAAAATAATGAAATTTAAAAAATTATTTTTGTTCACTATCCAACAATCAACTTCAAGATGAAACAATCGTTGGCGGGCTCAGGTTTTAGTGTAAACACACAAGCTCTAATTTCTATGCAAGTGTGGTAAATATTTCTTTAAGCTCAGACTTGCTTGGTATGGAATTTTGATCAGAAATGTTGCTTCTAACTTCCACCCAAAGCAGTTCTAGGTGGAGAATGCAGACTGCACTTTCACTGTACCAAAGAAAGAAAATGTTTCTTTCTCTTCCTGTTTCCCATTCTCCTTTTCTCTGATGCATGCCCTCTTGCTTTCTGTACCCTGCAGGTCGTCCGGCCATACCAGACCATGTCAAACCCCATGAGCAAGCTCACTGTTCTCAACAGCATGCACTCCCACTTCATCCTGGCCGACAATGGGACCACAGGAAAATACGGAGCAGAGGTGAAACTCCGGAGACAACTGGAAAAGCATATTTCACTCCAGAAGATAAACACGAGTAAGTAGGCCATTGTTCCCACGGTGGTGCCTCAGAGCAAGTGGTACTGAGAGCGATTCACTTGAAGGCTGGTGTGCACCTATATTACAAAAAGTTGAAGTGTTAAACAGGGGCCATCAATTCTCCTGGGCTGGTAGTTCGAATGAGAGGAAGTTTCCGGAGGAGGATGGCTGGAGGTATAAGAAATGACTACACAATTAGTGGGCTCAGGCTCATTTCTCATGCATGAAAAATCAAAGCCCATATGGGGCTGGTGAATGTAGATGAGCTTTCTCTCCAAACGGTTCCTACACTCTTTTCACAGTACTCCAAGGAGGAAAGACACCCTAGAGAAATTGTTTCTATTTATTAAGCTATTTTGATGCCAAAAAAGAAAAAAATGGGTTTTGATCTTAGCAGAGATCGGGCTGTTCAAAGGCATTTCAAGGGAACTGAACATTCTCTAAGCCTAAGCATTCTGTTTTCACAGGAGGAATCTAATTCACCATCTTGGTGAAGCTAATTCTGTCTCTTAACTTCATGCATTCATTCACTGCTATTTCTAGATTTTATTTGTATATATATACATATTATGTGATACGTGCTACATAATTGACATCTGATGGTTGTATTAGCCTCATCAGTAACCTTGGGCTGGGTGCTCCAGTTATTGGGTGAGCATGTGAGCCGTGAAAAGGCAGAAAGGACAATGTTCTTCAGATCACTCCATGGCTGGCATTTACATGTAATCACAATATGAAAACAGTCTGTTCACCTTTACAAACTAAAATTGAATTTTTTCACAAAGGAACACGAAGCTTCAAGACAAGCTCATACTTGGTGGTAATTATATGTCCCATAAAAAAAAAAAAAAAAACTTGGACCTAATTGATTTAAACTCCAAAACCTGCAATTCCAAATAACAAAAGCTTCTCTTTGCCTAGACGAGTTTTCAGAATCCCAGTACAAAGTGGCTCAGCTGGTCTGAGTTACTCTTTGCTTCCCTGTTGTATTTTCTGTACCTGTTCCAAATGGATCTTCCTTGTTATAACCCCCTTTCTCCCAGGCCTGGGATGATAGACCCATCAAACTGCAATTTATCCTTCCTACAGTCTTGTCCCTGGTTTGCTTTTTAAGAACTACTACTGATTAAGTGGCCAGGTTTCATACTTTCATCTTTGTTCACAAAGATGTCTGGAAAAATGAATTTGGCCTGGGTCTAAAGTAAAAATTTTATTAGAAGACCCCCTTCCTGATCTATCTTTGGAAACAAAAAACATGGGAATGGCCAAGGTTAAACATTTTCTAGGGAGAAAAAGAGTAGAAAAAACTAGAAAATTGGTCCAGCGACCAGAAGACATCAAATGTAACAACACTGTTGTCACTGGGTGGTAGGTTTTAACATAAGTACTAAACTGAATTCATTACAATATTCGATACAATGGTCAGATGTTATATAACTGTTGTCACCTACATAGGTTTTTGTGGGCTATTACATTCATTCTTTTTTTTTTTTTATTTTTTTTTATTTTTTTGGCAGAACCAGGGATTGAACTCAGACCCTTGCACTTGCCAGGGAAGCGCTTATTCCACTGAGCCATCTCCCCGGCTCCATACATTCCTTCTTTTTAAACCCTTAGTTAATGGCAACTTAAATACGGGCAAGACACAAGAACATGGAAGCAGGGGACACACTCAGGGCCAAAAGTTTAGGACTCAAAATAAGAAAATCTGTCTAGAAAGGTGCTGCTGGCAGCTGAACCAGCCAGTCAGTAGTGTGGGGAGGATAACTGGGTGTGTGGCTCAATAAATTATGCCCTATCAAAAGGGACTTTAGCTGGAGTGAAAACCTAACTAGGGCTCTACTAGCTAAGCATGGTACCTTATGTGCTGCCAGAGGAAAGGGTGCCTTCTTCTAAGAGAAGGCCCCATCAGAAATGTATGTGCTTGGAAGTTTGCTTTTCTAGATGTACCTAAGGAGCTCCTGGCCTGCAGGCTGGCACCAGTGAGGAGCAGAGCTCAACAGTATGGAGTGTGAAGAACAGGCCCCAGTAGATAGCAGGACCCAGAACCCAAAATATGCTGCAGGACACAGCACCATATATAGACTGTGAGCAGATGGATCATCATAGATGTCAAATTTGGTCACAATACAAAGCACTTGCTAAACCACCAAGGCAGATAGCAGCACATGAGTACATTCATCAGTAGAGAGGCCATCAGGCATCTAAGGGTATAAAGCAAAGGAGAGGCATGAACCCAAGTATCAGGGAATTTCTTTCTTGACTGTTCTTGAGCTGTCATAGAAGCCACAGGCTGCCATTCAGTGAATATAATTAAGTGGTCAGGATTTTTACAGAACTCAATAGAGATCCTTAAAAGCATAGAAAATTAAAAAGAGGAGGGTAAAGGATTTGTTCATGAGCTGTAGTTCTAGCCTTAAACTTACAAGGGGTGGTATGACCAGCTTGTCCCAGTTTGCGTGGGACTGTTTTGAGTTTTAGCATTAGTCCTTTGTCCCTTGATCCTCTCAGGGTAGAGAAAACAGAGATGATCAGTCACCTATAAAGGAGTGACTTGTAACTTATTCCTTATATTCTGAACTCAGCCCCCAAGGCAAGGAGGGAGTGGCAAGCTCCTCTGAAGGAGGTATTTCCAAGGCTCACTGACATAGATGCCCCCATTCCCTAAGCTGCAAAGGGAAGAAGTCACAGAGAATGTAGAAGCCTTCAGGAGTGAGCTGAGGAGACAGGCTAACAGTGGGCATGGTCATAACTCAAGACAGCACGAAAGGCAGAGCAGCAACTCTGATTTCTAACCCAGACACTTTTTCCCTTATACCATGACAGGCAATAATGTCGCCCTTCCCTTCAGACATTACATCTTATAAAGTTAGTCTAAAAATGCCATTTATCTCGGGTAGGTGGATGTTCAAGAAGAACGGGGTGGTGAATGAAAGCAAGAGACAGGAAAAGGAATATTCTGGGACTGTCCTGCTTCAAGGTTGTATATGATGAGATTTTTGGACTTATGTGCAAACATGAGAAGTATAGAATTCTTTATCCTATTTTTAAAATATAATCTAATTTTTAAATTTTTTATCATATTATGTAGGGACTTAAAGTTCAACATATCAATACTTGATGAAAAATACCTGTTCCTTATTATGCCTAAGATGTTTGAAATGCAGTGAG